CCCACCCCTACCCCACGATAGTACACTCCGCCCTAAGATATTCATACTTGAACGGTATCCCTCTATCCTTTGCTTCGCTTGACATTTAAAAGGTCTATGATTCCATCTTCCACGCTTCGTGCAGTCTCCTCTTACAATGATCCCTAAAGTCTTATTATGCGTCTGGAATCTCAATCATCAACGGTCTGAGGATTCACCCAGGGGACGTGGTGTCCGTCGGGAAGATTCGCCTTCTCCCCTGCTCTTCAGTATGACCCCAGAAGAAGCATTGTATACAGGGTCTTAAAGACAGGACACCTTGGTCGCAGACCTCCTTCTGTGTGTACAATTGCTCTTGCTCGTGTCGAGCAATGTATATTGGGAAAAGGACCATGCGACTGTGCGTTAGGGCTCGAGAGCATTGCCCAGCTTGGCTCTACAACGGCGCGAGGAAGAATGTAACGAGTGCAGTATTGACGTACCTAGTAGACTCCGATAACCAAATCGCTTCGCATGACGCATTCACACAGATCTACGTGTCCCTGGACCTTACACACGTGCAATCATATGTCGCCTGCTGTCGGAAGCAGAGACGATCGCAATTCGGCTCTATAACCCGGACCTATGTGCACCGAAAAAGCTCGTTCATAATTCAACCCTGCTTGGCCTCAAAACAACGCGAGTAACAATGGCAGTCAGGCCACATCACTTGACCTCGCCTCAATCAGACCAAGCACGTAGACTTATCGATTAGTTACTCTGCTTCAGTGACCAAATTTAAACCCATTGTGTCTATGCTAGCTTGCTTTATTGTGGTCGTATTAATCTGATGATGAAGCCACAGCAGGTGCAATCGACCATACCACTAACGCAGATGATGTCGTAAAATTAGCTAGCGACAGAGAAGCCCCAGTCGAATGTCAAGGTCGAGTTAAAAAGGATATACAGCATTTAGTTTGTTAATAAACCACATGAAATCGATAGTACTGAATATCACCGTCGACAGCAAAGGAAAAAATTTGTTTATTTTGAACACTGCGCAGCTCCTCTGGGGCACATGTCAGATCACATAGATCAAGCATCCGGGGAATTACGGCAACTCGCAATGTCATTTGATTGGAAGCGTAAACGCCCGTTGAACTCGTTAGACCAACTCAAAGCACAGCTACAGAAAACATCTCAAGCTGACATCAAGCCAGACTAGCGCACCTCTTTTATCGCGTCACACACATTGCCTCTCGTTGGCAGTGGTGCACTGGCAGCCCCTCAAATCGATGGATAGCCTGGTTCGCGGAAGTATGAGAAAATGGTTACGACTCCTGAAGGACACCAGTGTCGCTATTTTCACACATCAGTTGAGGACTATGGCCTAGGGGTTCCGTGCTTTTCTAATATGATCCTTTTGCCTCAGAAGGACAGCCTAGTACGCCAGCTTTCAATCTGTCATCCAATTACCAGCTGGACAATATGGGAACTTTCAGGAACTACTATCCAGCGCCTCGCCATGAAAAGCGTAATCATTGGGAAACAAGTCTTTGGACGGATCCTTGTTTCAGGGGATAATTAGAACGCCAGCACCTCATAAGTGGATACGAAATCCCGAATTTTCCCTAGACTGCACATAAGAAGAACCCAAGCACGAGTGCTATCGACAAAATCTCAGTGCTGCGACGCTTCCGGACAAAACGAATCACTTTCCAATGTAGCAGTGTTGTGTAGTAACCCGCGATGCTCGCTGTAAGAGGCACAACGATATCGTGTAGGACCTAACCAACATTTTTCGTCACAAAGGAGCCCAAATCACCCCAAATCCCGTATCCCAACGGCATCAATGTACAGCAAGCCGGAATTAATCCGTATGAAGAACTTCACAGCACACGTAATAGACGTGGCAATATGCGACACCTACAGAATGACCCGTAGCTACCAAATAAAATGGACAAATACGGTGTTGGTGCTCACGCGAAGCCATACAGCCCACTTTGTGCGCTCGGAATTTCCTATGGCATTCTATAGTATGCATCATCTATTCCGTCTCCGGCAGGCATACTTCGGTAGTGGAGCTCACCAAACTTGACATATCCGACTTGTGTGTCGACTATGAGAGCATGCCTTAAAGTGTACGACGCCAACATGCGGCATGCCAAGCCAAAACGTCTCATACTAACAACAGGCACGCACACATTCGCGAGAGATTCCGACCATTTGTTTTTGCAGTTTAGTGATTAATGTTTCAATTTTGCGCCAGGACATTTGTCCGACAAGTTTGTAACCATCCTGAAAGTCCTTTACAGTCACACGTCGGGCAAAGTTAGGGCTTACGGCACGCACTCCTCTTCATTCGCTGTGACCAGCGGTGTTCGCCAAGGTTGCCCTATTTCACCTTTCCTCTTCAATTTCGCCATCGAAGATGTTCTCCAAAGAGCACTGGAAGGTGTCCAGGACTGCGGTGTTGAGCTTCTCCCTGGAGACAGACTCACGGACTTGGACTATGCCGATGATATCGCCTTGCTGGGGGACGACCCACAATCCGTCCAGAACGCTCTGGACCGCTTGGCGATGGAGGCGTCTAAGTACGGCCTGTGCTTCACTCCGGGAAAATGTAAAACGCTGCTCCAGGATTGGCAGGTGCCTGAACCCGCGCTCACCATTGCTGGACATGTTCTGGAGCAAGTCCCTTGCTTCACTTACCTAGGGAGTTGCATCACGGCTGGTGGCGGTGTTGGAGATGAAGTCTCACAACGGATTGCAAAGGCCCGCCTTGCATTCATCAAACTGAGACATCTATGGCGTCGTCGTGATGTCACTCTCAAGCTCAAGGGCAGGGTGTACAATGCTTCCGTCCGTGCAGTACTCTTGTACGGCTGTGAGACTTGGCCTATTCGCTCGGAAGATATGAAGCGGCTATCAGTCTTTGATAATCGCTGTCTACGAAGGATTGCTAGGGTGTGGTGGCAACACCACGTAAGCAACGCAGAGGTGAGAGACCGCGTGCTTGGGGCGAATAGTGCCAGTCTTCAAGACGTTATTCTCCGACATCGCATGCGCTGGCTCGGGCATGTTCTGCGCATGCCAGCCCATCGCCTTCCACGTCGAGCGCTATTTGCACTCCCAGGGAGCGATTGGAAAAAGTGCCGCGGTGGACAGCCGATGACGTGGAGAAGGAGTATGAAGAAGGCGACCTCAAGTTTGGCAGCAGTCGGACCAGTCCGCCTTCCAGGTTGGGGACCACGAGATGTTGAATTGCAGTGGTTGGAAACATTGGACGTCATGGCCCGCAACAGACATCAGTGGCGGCAATGTTGTTCCGCAATTTCACCATCCCTTTGATACACACAAAAACTCACAAAACAAAACAAAAAATACAAAATGGCGTGTGTAAAACCAAAAAAATTCGTTTCCCATATTTTTTAATCGCATTAGTGTCCCCATCTTCTTCACCTATTTCTTCTGCCATGGTTCTGATGGCACAATGTCTGTTAACAGACTGTGAATAAATATATATATATATATATATATATATATATATATATATATAATCTATACATTTGTCCGAGCTCGGCGAACTTAGGTAATGCCACGATCTTAGACCATGCATAATTTTTCCAACATACATGTTGATGGACGGTTAATCGTAATGAAGTGAACCGTAGCTGAATCACATGCAAGTTTGGGGGGGTTGTCGGCTGTCAAACACTGCACGCGCCAGGGGCGGAATTGGACGTTGGTTAATTCAACGGAGGCTTGATGGTCTTCACCTATGAGGATCAAATAGGGAATGGAGACGCGTAATGGGTGGCAGTGTTTTCGGGCGAGCAACACTCTATTTCTATGTGCATCAGCTACGGTCCTGCTGATCGGAAGATCAACATTCACTCCAAGGGGAATGGCGGTCAACATTGACATTGCGCGTCGCAATCCATCCGCACAACGTGTGCTTCAAATTGATCCTCCAATCTGTCATTAACCGTTGTGCCAAGCGTTGCCCGTCCTGACCTGGTGGCTTACGGGTAGCGGTCACGACTAACATCCCAATGATCTCGGGTTCGATGGCTGCTATCTCTATCTGATGTGATGTAATGACATGGAAACGCGTCATGGAGTGCAAGACCCGAGTTTCTTTCGCTTCACACGCTACGGCTCTAGTGATCGAATGGCCGTTCACTTCAATGGTAATTGCGGTTCACATTGAGATTGCGCGTCGCAACCCATTCACACATCGAGGACCTCAAGATGACTTCAAAATAGTTCAATCGAGGAATTGCTTGGGGTTAAAGTGATACGCACTGCTGGTCCATGTAAGATCAGAACTCAGGTCACGCGGATGTTAAATGCGGACAGGTAGCATAAAAAATACATTAATGGCAGACTCCGATTACATCCACCATAAAGTAATAACGAAAGTAACATTCAGGACTTGAGGATATAGATTTTGTAGGAAAGTGACCCATTCTCATGCACGAAAGAGTTTCCGGAAGGAATAAGAGTGCAATTGGTCGTGTGTGCAGTTGGATCCATCGCACGTGCTACACGGTTGTCTGCACCCAACCGGATATGGTGCTCCAACGGTGTCCTAGCATTTACAATTCCCAGTTCAGCTACTAACGCTTGTGCGCTGAGGAGTGGTGAACCAAGTTGCTTTCGCAAAACGTCCCAAGAATAACAAGATCATGGAAGATAAATAGATAGGTTAGAAAGGGAAAATTTTACTACACAGCAAGGTCCCTCGCATTCCCAATTATCCGAAATCTCATGGAGGCAAATATTGATTGTACCTGTGGGGGTAATGGAATCGTCCGTGCGATTCAGAGGTCTGTGGGACAACAGTGGTAGTCCGAATCGAGCGCAGTTTAGAGAAACCCATAAGATGTAGAAGAAAAATGTGATGAACAACCTCAGAAAACAAACGTGATACCGGATGCAAAAGCGCTGAAAAACGCAGGTCGAACCATCGAAACGGGGTTCACATAATAAGACAGCAATGCGATAGAAATTCATAACAACGCACAGTTTCCACTTACTTGCTCCAAGAGTTCCGGATGCATTGACAAACAGGCAACCGCAGCCAAGAACCAACAATTACCTAGAAGGTAGAAGAATGAGAGATAAGGAAAGAGAGAAAACGACATAGAACGCCTGCCTCCGTAGGCAGATACTGTTCATCGTGGACACGACGTGTATAGTGTGATGGACCAAGTGGCTGGAATCAAACACGGAAAGAGCAGAGGATGAGCACTTGACAGATATTGATGAATTGTGCGCCAAAGACTCCGAACAGATCGTGGGTCTCACATTCGTGAGGTTGTTGTCCGAACAGCTGCGACAATTGCAAGTGGTGCAACATACACCAAGCATGATCCATCGAAAACAGAATGTGTAGTATGATTGCTCGCAAGCATAGTTTAAACACCCAGTCGAAGTAGAACGTAGACAGGCGACAGTACTTCTACTCGCAGTTAATCGTATCCATAGTACAAGCGGATTCCTCCGTAAGGTCACTCAAGTTGATTCAAAAGGCAGGCAAATTGTATCCAGCATTAGTGCGCACGCACTCGGGCGCATACTGCCGTGGATAGGCCAATAACAAATCCACCAATAGTATATTGGAAAATTATACACCGCGAAACGTTAGCATGGCTGTTGAATCCGGACCCACCTGCTGCGCAGTGGTCGTACTATGGGAAGAGATTAGCAAGAATTGGTTACACCAAACCTAGTCCCACAGAAGAGAGGAGATGATGGGTGGTCAAACACAAGTAGGCAAAAGTTGCGGTCTCAATACATGGTCCTCAAGCGACCGCTCGTCTAGGTCGAATGACATGTTCATAGTGAATCCACACGCGTTAAGATTGGAAAGTTATTAAACAACTGGAGATCGAGGGGAGACAAGTCGTGTCGACTGATGAGACCAATTGTAAACCCACCATACAGCAGATATTCCAAATTCAACTTTAAAATTGGAATCGCTTTTGTACTCGAACCAGACGGCGTTGACCGCACGGAACTCGAGTGTAAAGAGGCCAGCAATCGAGAGCAGGATCTGCATCTTATTGGAACAATTACGAAGGATAAATTGATACCACATATTACAATGATAGGAAAATACAATGAGGTGAATGTGCCAAATGTTGGGTGCCAAGGGCACAATTTTCATCGAAAGCAGCCGCCTGCTTGTGATAACACAATATGGCGTACGAATCTGGTAAGTGCATTACAAGAGGAGTCAATCGTACGACTCGGAGAGCCTCCTGAATGTTGCTCTATATTTTCCATCACCTGTCGCAACGAGACTGGACCTTAACAAGAAGCGACGGTTTAAGTAACTCCTTCACCTATTGAGCCATCCTGTGTGGTGAAACCGGGCAACTTGAGAGCTATTCCTATCAGGTAGGTCAATGGTTAGAGGTCAGACAAACAATCTCCTGGTCCTCCAGGTTAGGAGTTGTAATGGGATGGCATCCATTTCTGCAAAAGTAACTCATTGCCACCTCCCCACTGCCTTGCGGACAGGTTTTTGAACTAAAAGCTTTAGTTGACGATCTTAATCGTCCTCTTGTCTAGGTCTGGGCGCCATGACAGTATCTCAGCCCACATACAACCAAGACAATTTCCCCAACCTCCAACTACACATGTATCGGCCGTCGCGCAGCACATCAAGGGTCGCCTTACCCACCGCATACAGCAGGGCGGATAAGCAAAACATGCTACTGCTGGCGTATCGCCTCTCGCTTTTCCACTTCTACGCCCCACTCCCATTACTAACCTTCCTATAATTCCCAGCAACCGAAGTGCACGGGAGTAGAACCACTTGCAGCCACATTCCCGAAACACCCAACGGACGCCTATGGGCAACAGTCCTGCATAAGGTCCGTTTCCCTGGCGGCATTCAACGTTCGAATTCTAAGACAAACAGGCAAACAGGCTGCACTCGCACGCACGTTATACATACAAGGCACTGACGTGTGTCGTGTGTCCGAAAGTAAGATTACGGATGCTCACAAGATTGTTGAATTAACTGCACCTGGCGTATCCTCTCGTTACTGGTTGCACGCATCCGGAGAGGCAGATGCGGCAAACACTGGACAAGCTGGGGTCAGTTCCAAGGCCGGGTCATCGACGGTTGATTGAATTCCGGTGAACAGCCGTTTACGTGCAGTCCGTTTGACGACATCAATTAAGGTTGATTCAAGAAATAGTACCAAACGCTGTTTGCTTGTGATTTCCGCTTATGCTCCCACCGGCTGCAGCACTAATGCTGTCAAGGACACACACACCTGAGTTGAGCGCGCTACCACGCAGCGCTACTAGCTCGGATATTATACTACTCGCAGGAAACATGAACCCACAAGTAAGACGTCTGAGCTCTTCTGAAGCTGTTAGGTGGTAATTATGGGCTGAACTCCGAACGGACGGACAAAGGTGAGCGTCTGCTGTAACTGTGTGTGCAGCACCAGTTGGTTCTTAGTCGCACTGCCTTTAGACACAGTGGGCGCCGAAATGTCACTTGGCGTCCTCGTGTAGCTGGCCAACAATGGACACAAATTGACCACAATGTCATAAGTTATAGGTGGCGTGGTTCCATTCTGGAAAGCCGTTCGTCCTACAATACCTGCGTCGACTCCGTTCATGGTCATGGTATTCTGTCGCTTTTACACCGACTTTAACGGGAGGCGTACCAACCATCTCTCCCGACCGCCAACTGCGAAATCGTCTCAGTCCTCAGTCAGGCAAGCCTAATAAGATACACTGCATACCATACTTTTGATGTCTAGTCCTAATGACAGACATTCAGTGGAATAGGATCTCGGCCGCCATGCACGACGCAGGAACCTCTGTATGTGGTACTATCAATCGTCACCGCACCAGTCACTGGATATGCGAGAGATCGGTGAACCTGTTGGAATCTAGAAGAAACTACCCGGCTGGCTCTAAGCACAATATGGCTAGATGGACTATTAGGTGCGAACTAAAGCGAAGCTTACGTGCTGGCAAGAAAGACTGGTGGACCAGTCGGGCTCAAGAAATGGATGAGGAAGGCGCAGTAGGCAATTACCGAAAGTTCTTCCAGCTGATCCACACCACCGGCCAAGGCAACCAGCAGTCAGTGAGACAATCAGACAGTGCAGGTGCGCTGATAAACAATAAGGAGTGCCGTATGGCTCGTTGGGCGGGGCACTTTCAAGATTAGTTCAGTGGGCACCGTGCTTCCGAACCTTTTCCAAATCAGGTGGCGCAGGATGAGCCATGCACGGTTAATTTAGAGGCTCCATCGGAAGCTGACGCACGAAACGCGGTAACAGACCTTAATGGTTTTCGTGCCGCTGGCTCGGATCCCCTCCCACATACAATATTTAAGGATGGAGGAGAGGTTCTCTGCAAAGCACTGACCTCCCTATTCGAACAATCTGGAAGGAAGAGTGACACGGCTAATTGGAGTGAATCGATTAGTGGCAATATACAAGAAGGGCAGTCGCAATGACTGTGCTAACCACAGGGGTATTAGTCTAACGTCAGTTGTGATAAAATTACTCGTCTCGATAATCGTTCCCCGCGTCAATGCGGAACGGGAATCACGGATAAAAGAAGAGTAGGCAGGTTTCCGTGAAGGACGGGGCTGTATAGAACACAAATTCATTCTGCAGAAGATGATAGAGCAGCGCCACGCATACCGCAGACCGAAAATAGCTGTGTTCCTCCATTTCAAGAGTGCGTTCGATTCAGTCGACCGATCGATTCTGTTCGAAATACTTGCGCGGAAAGGTGTTCACGAAATATGTAAACATCCTTCGTGCTCTATACTCGAACACTACAGGCCGCGTCAGGGTCTACGGCGTCCCATCGGATAGCTTTTCGACTACAAGTGGCGTTCGTCAGGGTTGTCCACTTTCCACATTTCTGTTCATTTTTGTCGTGGATTCTATCATGGAGTGTTCCCTTGCGGAATCTCACGAGGCAGGCGTTGAAAGTGCTGTCTGGTGAAAGATTAGTTGATCTTGATTATGTGGACAATATCGTATAACTTTTCGACGGTGTTGCGGCGAAACAATCAACCCTGATTAGCCTGTCTAAAGTGCTCCCATTATTTGGTATGCGCTTTGCACCTTCAAAGTGCTTCAGTGTTAATGCGGGACCACCAGCTACTTTATAACCCCTTGATACTTGTTAACGAGGAACTCGAGGTGGTTGATCACTTCAATTATCTGGGCGGCTGCATAAGCAACGATGGGCGCATAGAAACTGACGTCAGCTCACGCATTGCAAAGGCCAGAGCTGCCTTCTTGAACCTGCGGCATCTTTGGCGACAGAATGGAATTTCCCACCGTCTGAAAGGCTGTATATACAAGACCACAGTGAGGGCCGTTCTGCTTTATGGTAGTGAGACTTGGCCCTTTCAAACTGAAGATCTGAGGCGCCTTCAAGTCTTAGATCATCACTGTCTGCGGAGCATTGCTGGTGTCGAATGGCACCAGCTGGTCCGTAACGATGATGTACGTAGGTGAGTAGTAGGTAGTGATAATCAAGCTAGCTACCTAGAACAAGAGATAGCACTGAATAAGATGCGTTGGTTCGGACACGTGCTACGTATGCCTCGTCACCGCTTACCTAGGAGAGCCTTGTTTAGTCTGCCAGGTGAAGAGTGGCGCAAGGCTCAAGGTGGACAGAAGTTGACTTGGTAGCGGGAAATGAAGTCACTGACGACCAAACTGGGTGCCGTTGGTCCGTCTCATCTTCCGGGCTGGAATCCACGTGATCCGCCTTGTGTTTGGCTCAAGACTTTACAGAACATGTCTCGCAACCGACACCAGTGGCGCGTCTGCTACCGTCTCCTAATCGGACTGCCTGTTTAAACTGTTTGGTGCTGATTTATCTGCAGGGTAATGGCTGATTATGACGCGGGGCAGTGAAAGCCGCAAGGAAACTGTCTCGCCGATGCCGCCTTATCTTTGCGCGATAGCCAGCTGTTGGTGACGGAATGTTGTTAACACAAGATGTAGGAGCTTTGACGCGGAACGTTTGCTTAGGGCATTATGGTTTTCCGGTAAGTCCCCCTTCTCTCCCTCTTCTTCTTCTTTATTTCATAGGTCCTCATGGTTGTATGGCAGCGAAGCACCAGTTCAAATGTCTGATGTACTGCTGTTGTTGATGATGATTCCCATCAACCAATCCAATTGAGGGCACAGGTGAAGCAAGTTATGATGCAGAAATATTCCGAGATGCTCATGAGGGTATCTGCAATAGCGAGTAGAGAATGCGCTTCCTGCAGCTGATTGCGTTAAGCCTTTGAGACTGCGTCTCCAGCAAATGATCGAGCGAATGAGAGGGAATTACGCTCGTGCGCTACATTTCACCAACTTGTAAACCACTTTTATTTTGCTAACGTAACTGCATATGATATGAGGTGGCGTTGTTACTTCTATGCATCGCGACGCCATTGTTCTAACATTCGCAGGCGGTGCTCCAAAAATGATTATGGTGAGAAAAAAGGAAGTCATTTTACTGATTTGTAGGTTGAGCAAACTATTGTGCATGGTTGTAAATTGTATACTCTCCTGTCGGCCGGTGACCGAGTGGTCTGCACACCTGGCTTGCAATTATAAGGTCACCGGTTCGAATTAGCGTAGAGGCGCGCGTCTTCGCGGTATACACAACCCATGCGCGACTGGTGGTTGTCGTGCGGCAGCGAAGCGCCGTTAAGGAGTACAGCTGACACTTTATTATTTATTATTACTCTCGTAGATTACACTGTGGAAGAGAGATACGCAGAGGTGACGCTTCGGACATTCGCCACTGAACCAGTTCAGGGTACGAAATAGCTGTTTGCTACCTAGTCTCATGCATATCAGAGGGTTGCGAGGTCGACCGTGCTCGCTGCAGCGAATAAGTTGCACCCATGCACGCGATGCATCCCGAATCGCTCAGGCAATCCTAAGAGGGGTAGTCGCAATCGCGTACACGTTAGTCACCGGGAACTACCATTTGCACATCGAATATAAACAACTGAAGACAAGTGTCTACAAGTAAGACCGTGATCAAAAAGCAACTGATGGAAGAGCGCACTGCTGCGGCAACTGAGGGCCCACCAAATAACGGCCAAAGCGAAACGCCTAAGCTGGATCACCAAGTCAACATCGATGCGTATGATGAGGCTGGTGAAAAGCATTCTGTTGAAGGTGCAAAAAACATGTCAATAAACAGTGCAGAATGTAAACCGATTGTAACTGAGGGGCTAGTTACATAGGCAGAACCGATAGGAGGAGTACGTTCTAAGGAGGATTCAACACGAGACGCTTCAAGAAGTTTGCCAAGCTAAAACTTCGCGTACACATAAACTGCCAGCATCATCGATCGGAGGACACTTATTGACCTCAGGTCACCGGATCGAGGTCAGCACGTCAAGCATAGTTCTGCTGCGACAAGCAGAATCCAGTTTCACCGAGGCTGTTGCAAGAAACGGGAGCGCTGTGGTTAAAAGCAACGATCGGGCAACCACAAGTTGCCTTGGATGTAGTGAGGTGACTTTCAATTGTTCCATTTTAGTTTACGAGTTCGCACTCATTGACAGTGATTTTCTATTCCAAGTTACCGTCCGGCGAGTTTCGCCTTCTCGCAGTGCTCTTCAAATTGTCATTAAGGCTGATTACAGAGCGGTTGTCACCCAGGTGCCACCGCCTCCAAAGTACACAAGATAAGCATGGTCTAATCTAACCCGTTAGTGCAGGTGAGCTAGCTGTTTCGGTCTGTGTGTACTTGCAAAATTAGGAGAGGAAGTGAAACAACTAACTCTAACATCTTGGTTAAAAGGCAGTTGCAATAGTGCAATCAAACACTTGTCAAATGCAGTATCCAGCCCTGAGTTGTTGAATATGTCATTCCGACCAGGAGCTATCCTGTCTATATTGAGCAGGTAAACTTTTTAAAGAAAGGTGGCCACTAGCCTCGTCAAAGCAACGCGAGACTGGCAACGAACTCGGTCTGTTTACAGAGAGTGGGTTTCAGCAGACTAATTATCGAAGCCTCAGCAAAATGGAGTAGGCGGGCGATGCTCTGTCGGCTGATTACTCTAAATGATTCACGCGGGTTTTCGTAAATGCGCCGGATGAAATCCGACCGCTTTCGATTAGCCAATGACTTCGTACCATGATTACATCGATCAAATTCGACCTGTGATTCGGTGGGAGCGTGACTATCTTTCAACTCAGGTAGAGCTCTACCTGAGGAACCATCGTGAAAGCGACAATTAATGGAATCAAGTAAAAAATCAAAGTTGAGTATAATGTAAACATTCCGTTGTCCTGGATAACGTTCCTTACATTACCTCATTGATAGCTTGATTCCGGGATTAACGGTAACGCAAACTGCGCCTATAAGTGGGTGGGTGAGAGTTCGAGGCTTCCTGCAGAACTAGATTTCACATTAGTGCACGGTCCGTATACCTATCTGTTGTTTCTGTAGCACGTTTCGTAAGAAATCTTTTCAGATAACCTAATTCTCTTGGATGGCAGTGAGATATGACGATCGGTCCAGAGGACATAAAATCAACTCAAAACGACCTCCTGCTTGGTCGGCTCAAAGGATACCATCATCTACCACAAAATGTGGAACTATCTACAACGCATCAGGTCTTTTGGGCCTAAAGGATAGGACAGCACGCACTCTAGTCTATTGAATCCAGAGGCTCAGTCTGAGCGTGTGCTTACGAGAGGACCACGTCTGGTCAGAATAATCTGAGGCGGCATTAAAATGATGCAATCAGTCGACTTCTTGTGTAGAGCATCCTGGAGTACCAACAACTCAGCATTGGTCACTCTGGTCTTTCGCGCTTTACTTGTTTGCTCGACATATTGTTTGCTCCCTCTTTGTGGAACCGTCTTGACTTCATTCACAGCGCGGGCTCCTTCGCGCGCTCCACTCCTGACACGCTGCTAGCTCGTGTTCCGGACAGGCTCATTGCCGCGACTACGTTTGTCTTGACACCTGGCCTGTGTTGACTCCGCAGACTTCACAGACTTAGTAATTTGGACCATTTCGTAAACCAACGAATGCTCTCACACCTCTCACCGTCCAACGCTTGCACGTGCGAACACAGTGCGTACATATGATTCGAGCTAAACGAACGAACACCTGAGGACCATTATTGAGACCCCAAGGTCCGCCCACTTGAGTTTGATCACGCAGTGTCTCCTTTCTTCCGTGGGACTAGCTTCGGTGTAACCAATTGTTGCTAATCTCCTCTCAAAGCACGACCACTTTGCGCAATAGGTGGGTCCGAGTTCAACAGCCATGCTGACATATCGTAGTGCTTAATTGTCCAATATGCTATCGGTTGATTTGGTCCCTGCACGGTGGTAGTACACGCCTGAGTGCGTGCGCACAAACACTGGATGCAATTGGACTGCCGCATGAATCAACCTGAGTGAACTTACGGAGGAACATGAGAAATTCCATTGTGTCAGAGAAGCAACTGACTGAGAAATGCAATAGAGATTTTATTTGGCAACCAGAAGTATCGTGTATAATCTGAACGGGAAATTGGCAAGTATTGTAATACAAAGGCTGAAGGTTAGCAACAAAATGCGTCAAGGTTGCAATGACAGGGGACGACCTACATGAGAATTAAAAACACGAAAACTCCACACGAAACCTGTTATTAACTATGCTTTGGTATGTAAGGTAACATATCAGGTTTCCAACATCGCAATCCAAGCACTTCAGAAGGCATGCACATGGTTCGGAACACAGTCAAATGCCCCCTACCTAGCAGTATACTGAGTTGCTGCCAGTTAAAATGACCATCAGGACAGTCGGGAATCGTACCTAACGGTGAAATTCACCTGTGAATAATGCGTGCCTAAAAGCTAGAAAGATGTGAACTGGTGTTCTGCACACACATAAGTTCGGGGATTGTCGGCCATGGGAAACGGATAGCAAAAAATGTACAAACAAAATGATTAGTTGAGAGGCGAAGCCAGTGCGGTACCCACTTGTCTGAAGAGTAGATGCACTGCTAATGTTCGTGAGTGGTGCCAAAGCTACCGTAAGGCGTGTGTGTGCTTCGCAAGATGAAAGTGACCTATTCCAAAGAAAGTCCACAGTGATCCCTCAAAAGGCAAACAATCAGATGAAGTAGGTACGCCAAAATAGCGTGAGATAAAAGGGTGCTGAGAAAATCAAAACACTGAAGCCCTGCAGCACTAGATAACAGATCTTTTCCTTCTCAGATGTGGAAGAATGAAGGTCGATATGTGCAACACAGTGAAGAGGAGCTTACCTAGTTCTCCTTGTCTCACGTCGAACCGACTGATTCCGTCGGAAACGAACTGAGGATTGCTGACTATCTCCTGTGGAAAATTAGAGGAGGGGCAAGCATTAATGAATTGAGGTGAATTGAGTTTCCATTTGACTAACTGTAAAGACTGCGTTGAGGAGTGTGATGGGGGTATTTGTAACCAAAAGAATAGCAGTGGTGAATCGGCAGGAATGAACAGAAAGTTGACACATCGGATGATTAATCGAATCAAAAGTACAAGAGCGGATACAACAGCCCTAGTGATCTCGTGACGGTATCGCATACGAACAACATGCAGTCAATGGTGTGGCTGATTCCGTAGTTGCCTAACAAGAAGATGGCAAGAACCAAGTGGACTCAGCGACTTACATGAGGCCGAAGCCACTGGTGACGACCCCGAGTAGACCCGATTGTGACATGGCTGGCTTCCATGAATGGATCGGTGAAGAGACCACCGCGTTGCATCTGTTCGGCAATTTGCTTCGCAAACCATTTACGGCTCAGTTCCAACGAAGTGGATGGGTGCACGCGGTGTTGCCATACGTTAGGCTCCTCTCGTTGGCGCTTTGCCACACCGCGAGATGTCAAAATACTTTTACGGTTTTCCTGTGGAATACCGCCAGCGCGGAGAATCTGAAACAAGTGAAGAACTTATGAGAGAAACGAACAGTCTGGGGTAGACAGATATAATACATAGAACGAGGGCATTCCATGCGAGACCAATTGACTCTGAGCATGGAGGAAAGTGGTGAAGTTTTATACTCCAAACAAATTGCAACAAAAGGATGTGCCAGTTTGCAAGGAAGGTTCACTTTCTTGGATGCCATCAAAAGGTATATGACGCCGTAGTGAGATCACACGGCACAATATATAGAGCTGAGTCTGGTGATAACTACAGAAAAATTCCTTGCTAAGCACCTGTCTCGCTTTGACTCATTCTACTCGATCGCATGTAGTCGACGGACAAGTGCGCGCCACCCGCAAGCTACGCCACGGTGAAATGAAATCAGACAACGGACGGCAAGCACGCGTCGGCCAAGGGAAACGTGACTGTAGTGTGAGTTCAACAGGTGTGGGTGTTAGCGTGTGCACAGGATTAGTGTTCATCTATCAGTTTGTGGGAGACAACAAATTTGCAAACATAAATCCGCGCATGCGTTGATAAGTGTGTTCTTTCTTGGCGGACTGTTGGGCCATTTTAACAGTTGGACCAGAACACAGTTCAAGAGGAAAGTGATGATGAATCAACTCGTCAAAGCAAATGCACATAGTCTGGTGATAATCGCTAAAGTAAAACATGCTTTGGCCGCAACAGACAGCATGGACAATGCTGTCCTGACTAATTCAATATACTCTACGGTGTATACAACAGGCTACTACTACTACTGGAGAAAAAGCAGCCAGGGTGTAATGAATCAGGAAATTTGTTATAATCACATTGTTTATGGACAATTCCAGCAGTTATCAGTTTTCGGCGATCCCGTCGGACGATGCAGCCGGATAAACTGTCAACCTTATTGTAGCGCAGTGAAAGATGCCGGCAATTATTATTATTACTGTTAAGATAATGATTTTATTCTACTTTATTGCTGGACACAAGGCAATGGTAACTCCATAATTCGAGCCGCCAGTATTTCGACTCATGACAAACAGATATGTGCGCTCAAAGCCCATCTTTGGGAGGGCGCCGCTTGTAGGTAAGTCTCCACACGTTACACTTTCTTCACGAATGTCTACGAAACGGTCAACTTCGTGATTCTATTCTCTAGATGTGCTGGCAAAACGAAGTGCATACGTGTGAATATTTTCGGCGGTGCACGCTCCTAACACTGCAGCACTCAACGACAGGTTTCATCCTCGGTTGGACTAACTGTGTAGATAGCCGGAGCTGGCGGAGAGGAGGCAGAGCTCGGCGCTAAGCTGACAGCTGATGGACTGACAAGTAAGTCACTGAGCTCCGTGAGAAACACAAAGTGCATCCAATAGTTCTGTGTGCATAAAGGATTAAGTAGAATAAGAGGGTCGAAAAGCGTTGTTTTAGCGAAGAAAGTAGTGACCGCCTGCACAGAGAACCGGACCGGAGGTCCGACAGCTCAAGATAGCATTTGTGAATGACACAAAACAACGCTCCAGACTGCAGTAAGTAACTGAAAACTCAACCGAGATGGTGTGGAATGATACCGTTTACAAGAACAGTGGTGACTCTAAGATCGCTCAACTCGTTAACAGAATGGCAGAGTTGGTTCAGGGAAGATTCAACATAAAGCCATGGTAGCACTTGCAGTTTTGTGGAGGTGTGAATAAGTTGACAATCCGCATAGCGTGAGCAGGCGGAATAATGACTAGAGATGCATCGACAAAGGTAGATAAGAGCTAATCACGTGGATCATATACACAGACAATACGGTGCAAAGGTATAACATGGCACGGTTGAGTCCGACTCTTACGATAGAATGAAATCGAACAATCGATACAATAGACCGAGCAGTTGAGCTACACAACGATATTAATCAGTATCGTTCGGCATTTGTTGAGTTTCGAGCATATGTGTAAATTTGTAAGCATGTGTAATATGGTAAATGTCTAGTTTCAAACGAGCAAACTGCTTAGGGAATTCGACAGTGGTAGGTCCCTCAGACGACCAAATGGATGAAGTATGCGCGGTAGCAATCAGAATTTAGGTATATCCAGAATTTGCAATGTGGAGGAGAACACGACAACGCAATCGGATGCGCGAGCAGGGAACAAGCCATTGGTGTGATCGAGCCTCAGCCCTCTCCACCTAAGGAAGATAAATATATAAATAAATTCGTATATTTCCGACGAGGGATAGGCTCACGGAGAGTTTTATCACCACTGATTGAGCACAGTTAGGTTTCTTCACCCAACTAGATGGAGCAGTGAAAGTCATTGCACGACGGTCTGCAAGCTTGTGCGGCGCATGACCGAGTTCAATGGGTCCACCAGAGTCAAAGAGGAGAGTCTGGTAGCAAACACCAAATGAAGAACTTTCGTACTTTTCACTAGGCTCTCTGTACCCATAAGCAATGAGCAATACTTCGTAGGCCAGAAACACTGCCGGCCTCTTAATGTTTACAGCGCGCAGAGACCACGTCTCCAGCCCATGCCTACATACCGCCGTCTCCAACAGTCACAGAAGTTTCGCAAGGCCGCATGAGCTTTACCAACACAAGTGTAGTAACCTCCGGAGAAGCGAGCCAGACAGACAGACGGAGTGATCAGTTCGGGCAGTGGAACATTGAAGAAAAGTCGCAGACTATAAAGCCTTGGTAGTGATGAAGCACCGGAAGAGTGACCTGTCCATCGGGTACAAAGAGAAAAACACAGGCAGGGAGAAGACGAACCAATTTTAGCCATCACGATAGAGACAGATCATGTACTAAAGGTAGGACAATCAAGTACAGTTAAGCGAACTAGGACGTAAAAAAGAGAGTTCATGTATCTGACAAGCAACGGGTGCCTTCGCAGTTTGGCTCACATCTGGTGGGAACACCGCGTGAGCAACGAGCGTTTGACGTCTTGTTTACGGCACAGGAAAAGGAAATGAACCGCTCAGCACCGTCATCTCACGCATCAGGCTCCGATAGCTCGGCCACGTGTTATGCATGTCAGCCCACCGACTACCGCGACGTGCGTTGTTTGCTCACCGGGGATGTGGATGGAAGAAGTGGAGGGGTGGCTAAGCGATGACTTGGTCCAGAGGAATGAAGGCCCTCACTTCGGAGTTGGCCTCGGTTGGAGCTTCACGGCTCCCTGATTGGGGTCCAAAAGACGATGAACACGTTTGGCTGGATACACTTGCTGACATGACTAGGAGCTGACCTCAGTGGCGTTCCTGCTGTGAGTTTCTTTGTCCCACCCCATCCCTTTTAGCCTCCCCCCCCCTATCTACGATCTCATTTCATAGTGTAAAACATAATACTTTTTTGCCTAGTAGCCGGCTGGTAGCTCACCGAAACGATACCTATCCGTTGCTTGTAACTCAGCTAGCACGTAACTGTTGTATTTATTTTCTTTTTTCTTTTATATATTGCGGCACAGTAGCTGAAGTGTTTCCCAAATCCAGCTAACGTGTATAATGATGATGATGACCTCTGCGCCTTCCTGGTTTAACTCCACAATCCTGTCCAATTGCTTAGAGTCACATCAAAATAAAGTATCACTGAAAAGTATGGGCATAAGACTGGTGGTTTAATATATCTGAGGTCAATGTTCCCAAAGTACTCTAAATCCGCATGGCGGTGGAAAATCCATGGAAAACCGATGGTTAATGCAAGAGTCAAAGAGTAAATCGGATGGCGCATTTGTCTAACCAATTTCTCAGACCCAACATAAAATAGCATGCCGATATTGTCTAATATAGAACACCGTACGTCTAGATTCGCGAGTAACTCTATTGATAAAAGGTTTATTGTAATTCATGTTTGAGGTCAGATGAAACCGGATGCTTGAAGAGCCACCTTGCCGACACTTTGACTTCCACCAACAAAAACTGCGTCCACCGGTTATTGTGGCCATCTTGATATGAAACACGTCGAGCCAAGCGACGCTGAGAGCACCCGGCTCGACCACTACGGTTGCGGATATGAAATCCTAGAAAATCGTAGATAGATCAAACAAGTTAGGTGAAGACTGAATATTGGGTGTTACCCGTTCGGAAACACTACACTATACGACGCGTTTCGAAGATGCTTGATCTTATCAGGCAAAGATAGTAAGCACAGAAACCAGTCGTAGAATGCAGTGTTTTGCGGTGGGCAACACTCAATCCCATCGGCCAGCTTTCGTCTTCACACAGCGTTGATTAAAAACACCCAAGCTATCCATCTGCTTAGTCAGTTACGGTCCAAAGGATGAAACCGACCAGAATTCACCTCCATGTGAATCGAGGTCACGCATGGCCCATGGATTGGGCATTACATAAATTCGCCGAGATTGGCAAATGTCCTGGCGCAAAATTGAAACACAAAATTTGATCGGAATCGATCGCAAACGTGTGCGTATGGGTTGTTAGGGTGAGATGTTTTGTGATATTGCACCCCACATGTAGATGTCGCACACTGAGGGATCCTCTCATGTGAGACACACACAAGTCGGATATGTCAAATTTGGTGAGCCTTAATGCCGAAACGTGACTCGTAGAAGCTGGGAATATATAACCCCGGTTGATGATGATTATCGGATGATGTACGACAGTTAATGCCGTAGGAAATTTCAAGCGTATAAAGTGGGCTATATAGCTTCGCGTGAGCACCAACACCGTATTTGTCCATTTTATTTGGTAGCTACGGGTCATTCTGTAGGTGTCGCATATTGCCACGTCCATTACGTGTGCTGTGGAGTTCATCATACGGAGTACATCCGGCTTGTTGTACGTTGATGCTGTTGGGATGCGGGACTTTGGGATGATTTGGGCTCCTTTGTGACGAAAAATGTTGGTTAATTCCTACACGATATCGTTGTGCCTCTTACAGCGAGCATCGCGGGTTACTGCACAACACTGCTACATTGGAAAGTGATTCGTTTTGTCCGGAAGCGTCGCAGCACCGAAATTTTGTCGATAGCACTCGTGCTTGGGTTCTTCTGATGTGGAGTTTGGGGAATTTCGGGAT